GGATTATTTTGGGAGGGTGAGATTTCAATGAAATCCTAGTAGCAAGAATAATCAACCACAACATCAACATGCATCATTATTAAAGCATTACAAACCTTAGCTACCATAGGAGAACTAATCTTCTTATAAAAAAGCAACCTCAACATGCAAGGCCATAATAACAAATGCTAGGAGCAACCATATCACAATCCTTATAGTTCAACCACATGATAGCAAGCATTCATGCCACAATAAACAATGCAAAGTTAACATTAGTAGTTATTTAAGTCTTACTACCTTGATCTAAAAGCTCTTTGATTCTTTGATCTTCTTCCTCTCCTCCACAATTATCAAACCCTAACATCACAATGCATAAAAAGGGCAGCAAGATTACTAGCCAAACTATAACAAAATCAATAATAAAACTCAAGTAATTCCTTAGCCTTTAAAGCTTCAATCTTTGTTCTTTAATTTTAGAGCTTTGTTTCCTTAACCCTAAAACTCCTTTCATGGTTCATTCCTATATGATTTTTCATGTAGATTCAAAATATGCACTTGGATTTAGGTTGGCCGAGTACTTAGGTTTAGGTTCCAAAAATTACAATTTTGATTCTAAAGCTTGCAACACTTGTTCTTTAGGTTTATCCTACAGTATTTTCTATTTTGTACACAATGGAAGCATTAAAACATTGAAAAATTCATTGTAAGGTTTAGTTTCCTTCTTGGCTGAACAGTACCTCTTGAGGAACAACAAAGAAATCTTTTCAAAAACAACCTACAACCACTTGAAACTACTTGGAATAACCAAGATTTGAAGTGTTTTAACAAGTTTAAACAATAAAACTTCCTCCCCTCCATGATGGTCATTTCAACCAGCAACCAAGAAGAGGAAAAACAAAATTTTCCAGCCATACAAATCAAGAAAACAAGGCAAGGAACAACTTGGAACCAAAAACTAATTTTAAATCTTAGTTGGATGATCAAAGTTGCTTACTTTTCTCTTGATTCCTCCTCAAGCTCTCTCTTTTCCTCTCTTTTCTCCCATTGGCTAAACATGAGAGTCTTGAAAGGGGGAGGATGAGCTTCCTTTAATGCCAAAACAAACATCTCAATCACCAACATTAATGCTATGCCATGTGTCATCTTCCTAATTAATCTTGAATCTCTCTCTTAATTAACTTAATCCAAAAGTAATTAATTTCCCAAAAGTCAAGATCCTCTCCATTAGTGGCTTGACAAGTGGCAAAGTGTGGGCTAAGCAAAGTGTGAGACTCTACTTCTTACATTATTGGTGCACTTTTGCTCCGAATTTAATTTCTTTTCTATAATTATAGTACTCTGGCCTCTGTAATTATTTTCTATTAGATCCATAATTTATTTGCCTCATTTTTCTGTTCCCAAAATGCCCTTTTTGTCTCAATTCACAAATTCCATTAATTAAATAAAAAGGAAAATTAATTTCCTTCTCCTTAATGATTTTTCTACTTGTCAAGGGAATTAGAAAAAATCTTGAACATTTGAAGGTCTCTTTTTAATCCCATAATCTCTTATAATTCCTTGGGATATCATAGGAATTTTCTTGAAATTTTATTCTCCTTCTAAATATTTATTTGGAATTTTCCAAATAAAAGGCCTTAAATTAGGCTAAATCACTCTTAAATTCGTTTGTAATTTTTTCAAGGGTAATTTGGTTATAAAACCAATTATATAACCTCATATAATTCTTAAGAAATATTATCCTTATTTTTTTTAATTTTCTGAGGCTTAAAAATATTTTTTCATAATTATTTTTGACCAATTTTTCTTAATTAGTCAAACTTTCAAAATTGATTTGGAAAATCATACTAATTATTTTCTACCATAATTCTTCTATTTCTCCTTCTCATTTTTGGCCCTTAAATTTTTAAAAATATCATTACTGGATGTAACAGATAAAGCCCAATCTTTACATGGTTTTCTTAAGTATTTTCTAATGTTTTGCAACACTTTTGCCCTTATTATGCATGCATCTATATCCTTTTGATTACATCAATCCATGCATTGTATTGACGGAGCCATAAATTCATAAGAGTCAAAATGCAAGACTCGGGTATTTATGTGTCCTCAGGTCACGACTTGGACTTTTGAGGTCGTGATTATCCATTTTGGAGCTAAGTCAAGATTGAATGTGCCTCTATGTTCCTAGGTTGCGACATGGCTTTATGAGGTCACGACTTGAATTTCTAAGGTCGTGACCTAAATATGTTTAGTGGAGTTATGCATTTTGGAATAAGTTATTCTGCAATTAGACTTAAGGAAAGCAGCCACCACGAATCAGAGAGCCTCCATCCTACATATTTGCAAGGAGATGAACCTCAACCATTTTCTCTCAAGACTATTGATTCTATACCTCAAACTTCCATTTTTCTTTAGTTTTCCATCGTTTTCTGTGATTTTGAACTGATTAAATCACTCTTACCACCTTCTTCTCCATTTTGCCAACCCCTTTTTTAGCATGACTCATGGATGAAAATACCTAGAGAGATTGTGACTTGTTTAAAGACATGAGAGGCTAAATCATTAGCCTCTTGGTGATGGAGGATGAAGCTTGAGCTCAAGGACTTAATAGAGGAGTTTATTAGTCTAAATCTATGCTTAAATTTGTATTAAACATTTCTATATTTAGGAATTTCTACACTTATGTAAGACTTGATTATTGATTTGTAAATCTTGTGTTTAGACTATTATATTTGGATTGGATGCTGTTTAATGTTGAAATTTCTATATAAATATATTGGTTTTGAATCCTTGTGTTCAGCTGGTTGTTAGTGATCTTTGATAATTAATTTGTTTACTTGGTATTCTGTGGTTGTTGATTGGTAATCTGAGGGCATTTGCATCATCCATTCATATATACTCTAAGTGGTTTCAATAATGTTTTAAAAGGTATTAATTAACTTTGATTAAAGTGAGTTTTCATTAATTAAAATATTAGACCCAAGTGATTGCTTGGGTTTTTATCAGACTTAAAGATTTCTAAAACTCCTATTTCAATTTAAGAGCAAGGATAGCTAAACCTTCATCATCAAGAGTCTATTTTATTACTTTCCCACTTAATCCAAGTCATTCTTTAATTCATTTAAAAGACTAAAAAGATCTACAGCTTTGCCTTTTACCTTATTTGCACCATGGTTTTATCATTTCAAACCCCCTTTCTTTACCCAAATTAACATGTTTTTAATAATAATGTAGACTAGGATTTCCAATAAAGCGCTCCTTGAGAAGAATGACTAGTTACACCCTATATTGTATTATCTAGTGCAATCACTTTCTTGATGACCCAGAAGGTGACATTCTGGTCTGATCAGGCATCCATTTCTATTTGGCCAAATAGTATACATAACAGGATTAGGATTTTTATTTTTGATTCCAATGCTTTTAAACACTTTCTCTTGGTGTTTTTCCACATAAAAACACATTCTAAATTCACTAAAATCATCAAATTAAATTGAAACAATGTCTAACCCTTTTAATCAAGCTTGGCCAAATAAGTGCCCTAATTAGGGAACTTGGAGTTTCTTCCAAAAATCAATCAAAACATCAACCAAGCAAGCCAATCCAAGATCTAAATCATGGTTTCTATCCTTCCCTAATTATTCCTCAATATTTCAAAATTTGGACAACATGTACCTTATGATTTTTGTCACCAAACTTCACTTGAAACAAGCTATAAACATAGTCAAATTAAAGCTTTAACATACCTTGATTAATCCTTGATTCTTGCTTAACAATTCCTTGATCTTTTCAGTGTTTTCTTTGCGCTTTAAAACCAGTTATTTTATAGCAAAACCTTCCCCATTTAAGGTGCCAAAATAACCAAATTGAAGAGCATAGGAGGGGGTATATATAGACTAAGATTTCAGCCTCTTTTCCCTCCAAATATCCACAAACAATCTTGATGAAAAGGCCATGTGTCTGCTCCAATAAGCTGCAGAAAATTTGGTGAAGCCAAGTATCCTAAGGTGTCATGATGTTTAGCATAAAATCATGTATTAATTTGTAATATTTTATTCCCTAATCTTTTAGGCCCCTTGGGCCACAAATTTACTATTCAGTCCTGGCCCAAAATAATGCTCAGTGGACTGGAGGAAGAAGGAAGGAATATTACCTTTCATCTCCAAACATTTTTCTACTTGATTTCACCATATCAGCTAAAATTCATGTCTAATTTTCAATAATATTTCTGGACCGCCAAAAATTCATTCTTACCCATCTAAAATCATATTTTTAATATAGGAAGGTTTCTTGAATTTTTCTAGAATTTATCTCAACCTCCAACTATCTGAATTGAATTTTCTCCGAAATCGGGCTTTACTGATAAAATTTCAGCAATAAATATTCTAAAATTAATCCTTTTACTTTCAAGGCCTAGAAATAATTTTATAAACTCAAATAAATCCTTAAATAATTTTTCATATTTTTTCCAGATTTATTGAGGCCTATATATATTTAAAATAATTATTTTTGGCTAATTTTCCACTGTTTTACTGAAAAAACCTCTGTTTACAAAAAATTCTATAATAAATTATTTTCATGCTATTTTCACCTTCAAGGCCTCAAATAGAGTTCCAAGCCTCCTAATTTGTCTTTTTACTATTTTTTGGAAATTTTCAGTAATTTTTCTCTAATTTTTTCATTTTGTCCTTTGTAGATCGATAATATCAAAAATATCAATCCAAACAAGGGTCAGATCTCAACTCAAAAGTTGTTTCAACTCTAAATCTACTTTGCTATTTGACCCTCTATCTAATTTATTATTCACACTCCTATGGTTAAAACTGGTGGGATGTAACAGGTAACCCCCAGAGCTGAGAAACCCTTAATAAGGGCAAGTCATGAAGAAATCTCCTACGGCAATAGCAGGAATAGAATAAAGCCTAATCCTAGTAGGAGGCCGAGGAGGGGATCCAGACAAGAAGGCTTTAACACTTCTTGAAAGGGAAAGAATGTGAGGTCTATGGCAGGAATCACAGAGATCGGCTATGTGTGATGGGCCAAAAAGTGTGCTACAAATGTGGCAAGTTGGGACACTTTGCCAGGGAGTGCCTGATAGCTCAAGGCTAGTGTCTGAAGGAAGAGTATTTGCCCTCAATAGGGAAGAGGCTCGTAGGTCACCCGAGATGATACAAGGTACAATTAGTGTTAATGATTGCCTTGTGCATGCTATATTTGATTCGGGCGCCAGCCACTCCTATATCTCGTATGATTATATTAGGCACTTAGGGCTTACTATTGATGCTTTGCCACATGATCTTTATTTTTCCACCCCTACTGATGCTAAAGTTTTAACTTCTAGTGTGTGCTTAAATTGCATTGCTCGGTATGCACATTATTGCATTATGTTTGACCTTATATGCATTCTGTTCTATGATATTGATGTTATTATTGGCTTGACTGGTTATCTTTGGATAATATACTCTTCAACTGTAAGAACAAAACCCTAATCCTTCCTGCACAAGAAACAACCCCTTGCACAGAGATAAAGCTGAATTTTGTGATTGAGGCTCAAGCAGATAGATATTTGAGGCAGGGTTGCTAAGGGTATATGGTATTTTTCTCAGTATGGGTAAAAATTGAGGTGGGGATTTAAGAAATTCTAGTGGTGTGTGATTTCCCTAAACTTTTTCCAAAAGAAATCGATGGACTACCACTAAAGAGAGTAGTAGTGTTCGCTATTGATCTAATACCAGGGACAAAACCAATTTCCAAAGCCCCTTATCAGATAGCTCTGAATAAGATAGCAGAGCTAAAGAAGCAAATAGAAGAGCTATTAGAGAAGGGCTTCATCCGACCTAGTATATCTCCATGGGGCGTACTAGTGTTATTTGTAAGGAAGAAAGATGGAAGCTTGAGGTTTTATATTGATTATGGAGAACAAAATAAAGTGATGATCAAGAATAAGTATCCACTTCCCCGAATTAATGACTTGCTGGATCAATTAGCTAGTGCAAATATATTAGTAGGGTCAAGTAGTCGCCTATGCCTCATCACAATTTAAATCACATGAAGAGAATTACCCTACACATGACCTTAAGTTGGTGGCGATAGTGTATGCCTTGAAGATCTGGAGGCATTACCTGTATAGGGTAACTATTGAGTTGTACTGTGATCATAAAAGTCTCAAACACCTGTGCCACACCTACTTTATCACCATATTATGTGTCAATTGGAACCATTACAATCCATTTACCATGGCTCAGGAATGCAAAATTTCAAGATTTAATATTTTCCTCTTGTGTGCTATTCGTACACTGTTCACAAATTTTTGAGCCAAATTTGAAAACTCATAACTAATTCTAAAAAAAAAATCAAAATTGAGTGGTTCCACTTTTCACTTAAAGCTTGCTACAAGTTATTTTAAGGAAAAATACTCCGTGGACTCATATCTATCTGAGACAGAGCTAGAAAATTCGACAAAGTGCACTGTTCATATGGTAAATTTTTTAATTTTCAGTATTTTATCCCAACTTTGGAAGGGCATAACTCTTCGCAAAAGCCTTTGATTTGAACGTTCTACCACTTGATTTAAAGCTAAAAATATTATCTATAAGTTTGTCAAATCTTAGGTCCAAACTCAAAGAAATGCTTATTCTTTCATGTGTCCCAAGTTTGGCCTTTTTTAGGGACATTTTACCCCCTAGTTGAGTCTAACTTTATCTTTCCTTCACCTTTTATCCATCCTCAACCTTTTAAGACTTGTGATATACTTGTACATACATTCTAGTATACTTATACATGCTCATACATGTTCACACATGTTCATCTCTATAAAGGAGCTATTATCCAACAAACACAAAACATTCAAAATATTACATAACATAACATAATATCCAGTAGCAATGTCACTAAGCATTTACATGTCTTTCAGTCACTACTTCCTGACTCTTACCCTTGCTTGATCCACCTCCTAAGGTTAGTTTAAACATAGGGGGATGAGATTTCAAAAAAAAAATTCCAGTAGCAGAGAATCATAATTATCATGCAATCATACAAACATAATGTGACTTGCTTTTGTGCACATAACTTTATTGCTCATACATAATAAAATGCCATAGAAAGTAAGTCAGTTCATTCATATTCACATAATGTAATGTCAAGGCATGCTTAATATAAACATTGCAATCATAATTTAGCAGCATAGCTTAGTCACATCATGACATTCAAAGCAAATACACATAAATGAATGCAAGAAAGCATTTTAATCATAATTCAATGCTACCTCTTGTGTCCTTAGTGACTTGTTCCCCTTTGATTTAGGGTGTCTCCTTGATGGTTAGGCAAAGTACAAACCAACATCAATGCAATCATTTACCAACCATTCAAACACATTATCCAATACTTGAACATTAAACCCCTTTTCCTTGGATTTTTGACCTAATTATTCCCTTTGTTTCAATCAATCTCTTAGGTCCTTCCTACATAATTTTTCATGTAGAATCCAAATATCCAATTAGATTTTACAAAATCACAGTCCTTCCCTTTCATTTAAGCTTGGCCTAATAGGGGTCTATATTTTCCAAAAATTTTATTTTTGATTCAAATGATTTCAAACACTTCCCTTTAGCATATTCTTACACAAAACATCTTTTGAACTCATTGAAATTATCAAAACACATCCAAACAAACTCCTAACCTAAGATAGCATAGTGGCAAAATTGATGTGTCTTGAAGCCTATGTTGATTTTTTTCCAAAACCAATCCATACATCACTTAAACATGCTTATTCCACATCATATTTAAGGTTTCTATCCTTCCCTAAAGCATAAGCATGTTAACTGAATTTATGGCAGCAAAACACCTCCAAAATAATTCAATTTCCTAACCAAAACAAGCTTTAATCTTAACCAAACCAAGGCTCAAACATACCCTGGTGAATCCTTGATTAAAACTTGATAATTTCTTGTCCAAAAGCACTTACCAAAATCAGCCTCCAGCTCCAAAAATGAAATGGGTAGCACCTCCCCTTATTTTACTAATTTTTTACCTATTTTTGGGTATTTTAAGGGGGTATCTATAGACATCCATAAGCTGCCCAAACTTGCCCTTAGCCAGCTATTTTTCTACCTAAAAACCCCTCAAATTTTCGTTCAAAATGCAGAAAAATTAGTGGCCATGTGATCTTTGCTTGCTCACCAAGTAAAGTTAATCCAATGGTCAAAATTTGCCAACAAATTGACGTGTGGTCTCAGGGCCTTGGGGAGCACGTTCCTCCTGACCAAAATGGATTAACTAAATGTCCAAATCTGGTTGGGAAGTAATGGAGTTGGTTTAGTTTAATTCCATTTACAATCTTCCATCCAATAACCCTTTTTAGCCTTGTATGAGGAAAAATAGCTTGGGGCCTCAAAAAATTTATTTCTTTCCATGATAAATCTTCATTTATTCTAAAAGTATGATCTAAAAGGTTTTGGAATTTTTCACAACCTCTAACTATTTATTTCACAATTTTTCTGAAATCAGGCTTTTACCGATAGAATTTCAGAAGTAAATTCCCTATAAATTATTCCCTTCATTTCCAATGCCTGGAAACAATTTAGAAATTCACATATATTCCTAAGGAATTTATCCATATTTTTTTTGAATTATTGAGGCCCTTACATAATTAAAATAATTATCTTTCATCAATTTCACTATTTTCTTCAAAAATAATTATTTTTGGGAAATTTCACCATAATTTATTTTGGGCCATTTTTACTCCCAAAACATCATAGGTGCCTCAAAAACCTCTAATTTCACCTTTTTCTATTTTTGGGAATTTTTTAGGAATTCCTATAGAATTTCCAATTTTGTCCCTAGGAGTCAAGTATTACTAGTCTGGCTTCCTTCAGTGTTCAAATTTTAGGATGTGACAACCTGTAAGATCAAAAGGAATTGAATATGAGACAGAGGAGATGAATGGAGCAGCTCAAAGACTATGACTACCAAATAAAATATCATCCAGGAAAAGCTAACGTAGTCACAGATGCGCTAAACCGAAAAATACTACAGGTGGCATAACTAGTAATTATAGAGCAAGAACTTTTAGAAAGTATTCGAAATTGGGGTCCAATTTACCAGATGTAGTTAATAGCAGAAGGAGTTAGAATATTAAAAATAGAGGCACAATTAATGAATCTGATAGTGGAAGCTCAGAGGAAAGATTAGTTAGCGGATATCCTCAAGGCCAAAATACTAAAGAACGAGACTAGAGATTATGAAGTTTTAACAGAGGGATTATTGAAGTATAAAGGAAGAACATATATCCCTCCTATTGATGGCCTGAGGGAACAAATTTAGATGAGGCATATAAAAGCAAATACACAATTCATTCGGGTATAATGAAAATGTGTAGGGACAGTAAAGAATTATTTTGGTGGCCTGGCATGAAAAAAGACATAATAAGATTTGTGTCCAAGTGCCCTACGTGTTGAAAGATTAAGATAGAACATCAAAATTTGTCAGGACAGTTAAAGACTCTGGATATACTTGAGTGAAAATAGGATAGTATCTCTATGGATTTATAATAGGATTACCTTGCACATCATCAGGGTATGACGTAGTATGGGTGATAGTAGATCAACTGATGAAATCAGCTCATTTTCTAGCTATGAAAAAGAAGTATTTGCCAGAAAAATTAGTGAGGTTATACATTAAGGAGATAGTCAGACTACATGAGGTACTAGAGACAATATCTGACAGAGACCCCAATTTATTTCTAGATTTTGGAAGGCAATGCAACAGGCCATGGGTACAATATTGAGTTTTAGTATGGCCTACTATCCACTGACAGATAGATAGACAGAGCAGACCATCTAGATAGTAGAAGATATGTTAAGAGCATGTGTCTTGGACTTCAAGGGAAACTAGGATGAGTACTTGCCATTGGCAGAAATTGCCTCAACAATACTTACCATTCCAGTATTCAGATGGCCCCATATGAGGTACTATATAGGAGAAAGTATAGATCCCAATTATGTTGGATAGAATTGGGAGAAAGAAAGGTTTATGGTCCTGATATAGAAGATAAGACATCTAAGCAAATCAAGTTGATAAAGCAAAGATTGCTCATAGCTTAAAGTAGACAAAAGAGATATGCCGATGTTAGGCGAAAACCTCTAGAATTTGAGGTTGGAGACCATGTATTTTTTAACGTATCTCTAATTATGGGCATAAAATGATCTCTAAAGGCAAGAAAACTGATGCCCAAGTGTATAGGACCTTTTTAAATTCTCTCAAGAGTTGGATGGGTAGCCTATAAGTTGGCCCTATCCCCTCATCTCAACCAAATATATAACATCTTCTATGTTTTCCAGTTGGAGAAGTACCAAGCAAATCTCACTCATATCATAGAATATGATGACATCGCACTACAAGATGACTTGACATTGGAAGTACGACCACAACGGATTGTAGATTGGAAGATTAAGTAGCTATGAAACAAGTCAAT